GGAAGGAAGGAAGGAAGAAAGAAAGAAAGAAAGAAAGAAAGAAAGAAAGAAAGAAAGAAAGAAAGAAAGAAAGAAAGAAAGAAGAAAAATCAGGTTGTTTCAGATGTGGTAAATCTGAATGAAGGTGGTCAGGTCTGAATGAAATGGTTAGATCTTATGAAGTTGATGAATGCATGTAGGGAACTGAAGGTGTAGGCTTAATTATACATGAAAGGACTAAAATATATGTCATAAAGTTGGAATAAGTGTCATCTAGATTATAGTGGGTGTGTATGAAAGTAGTACTTCAAAGATTAGTCATAGCTGGAGGTAAGAACTCCATGGACTCCAGTGGTAAGAACAGAACCAGAAGTGAGTTTTGGGAAAAAATGTCTAATATTCTCCAACTGGATTGGAATTCGATTCCCATAATCCTTAAACCAGAGAGACAGAACAGAAAAATTGGTGGACTATTGAAAGATCCAAGAATGAATGAGTATGGGGACTGGGGACTGTTTACAAAAAAGGTGTATTTGTTAAGCATAAACCTATTCATATGCAATAAAATAAAGAAATGAACAGAATTTTTAAATAAAAAAGCATGATTGATTTCATTTTTTATTATGAGACATTGAAATAATTAGTGAAGGTGGATGAGAGGTTCTGAATGTGAAACAGACCAATATTTGGTGTTGGATCTTGGAGAGAAAATGGACGTGGATTAAGTAACCAACTAAGTCACCATTATGAAATACGGTGAGATGATTTGATCATATAGAGAGAATTAATGAGGATCAAATAGCAAAACAAATATAGGAAGAAAGAGTCAATGGGACAAAAGGAAGAGAAGAATGAGAAAGATTTGGTTGGATGAAACTGAGAAGTTCCTCAAAAAGAGGCTAGTGAGAAGTTTAAAGAACAAAGCCAACATCTAAAGTGGTGTATTGTGGTGTGAAGGGTGGTGAAAGGTGGTATAGCATATTATAAATCTAGCTATATTTCCTTTTCTTATCTCATGTCTTAATTTGTCTTTTTATTTTTTTACTCATTTTCTGCATTTTGCATAATGTTGCTTGTAAGGGAGTAATATGACGGCTATATATGTAAGTGCCTTACCCACTGCTGAGCTGAAGTGCTCTTCCCTAATTCCTGAGTCAGCAGAAAACTACTGCACATGAAATTTGCTGTTCTCCAGTGCCAAACTCTATCCTGCCCGAATTACCTGTTTCAGGCAACTGATTTTCCTCCAAGTTAATGGATGACAAAGGCCACTCCTCCCCTGGGATTTTGAAGGTCATCACAGCATCATTTGGCTGCCATTGCTATGTCACTATGTTAGTAATGAAAACAAGCTTTATTTCACTGGTATGGTGGGATGAAGCTATAATTCACTAATGAGGAAATGGCCAAAGTAGAATGGATTTTACAAATTTTGAGGTTCCCTTTGGATGGTGATGGGTTAAGCTGGTAAATACTATTATAATACAGTTTACACTTGTCTCACTCCTGGGCTGAGGACAAGATGAAGACAACATCATGGGACATGGCCTAAAAATGTTGCCAGGTATGTTTATATGATCTTTAGATGCAAATAGGGAAAGCATCTTAAAGTTTTGCTTGTGGTCTTGAGGTGTGTGGGATACAAATAGGAAGCAAATATCATGTGAACTTCTGGAACTGGCTTATTAAAGTGAAGGTGTGGTTATTTATGCTTATTAAAAATAAAAAGAATGCTTTTCAGTCAGTTGAAATGTTTTTAACTAATCAGTTTATCTAACTTTCCTATGACATACCTATAAAAGATGGGCTGCTACAGATACTCCTTTTCTTACACTACTGTAACAAATTACCTGAATCCCTTTTCCCAAGAAACTTGCTATTCTTCTGCACAATGACCATAAACAATTGTAAGCACCATCCATGTGGATGCAGCAAAACAAAACCGCGATGGAGTGACATGACTGAGCCCAAACAAACTGATGCCCACCTTCCTACCTTCGACAGTGCTTAAGCTTTGCTTTCTCAGAGACCTGGGAAACCACATTATCCTTCTCTTTCATAAATGTTGTATGCTTAAATACATGGTCACTGTTCTTGCTTGCCATCAGGGGTAACATCCGTCGGTAGAAGGGGGTGGGTGCGATATAGATTAGAGATGGGGGGGAGGATATACCCCCTCCCAACTGGTCCAGGGTTAAAACCACATGTCCAGTCGAGCGCAGCTCTTAGGTCCAAAAGCAGATTGCTGTCCCTGCAGCTTCATCAAAGTTGTTCAAATTAGCGTTTAAAGTTGGGAATCCCATCACGCAGCTTCCGGGCGGATCTGCCGCCTATAGTTCGGCGCGATTGCCTCTGAAGCCGCGTTTCTGGCTGCGGGGAGAGCACCCCAATCTTTTCTCCTCTCCCTGCCTCCTGCGAGGCGGGTGTCGCTCCGCTTTCTCCCAGTCTTCGCTCGGAAACCCCTCCCGCGGGTGGGGATGATGCAGAAGAAGCACGTCCTCCTGCCTTTTCACGCGCCCTCCTCTTCCTCCGACTCTGCAATGGGCGATCGCGGGGGTTGTCCCTGTTACTTTATTATTATTGTTGTTGCTTGCTTGCTTTTTTTTAAAGAGAGCTGTAGAGACCTCAGGCGGAAGGGAAGCAGCCTCATCGCCTTTAAATGGCATTGCTTGTCATCTGAGCATGCTCCTAAGTGGGCCAGCGAGGGGTATAAAAGGGCTGGGACGCAACGCGGAGCTCTCAGGCAAGGAGCAGACGCAACTCGGCGGGAGCGTAGGGAGCCTCGGGCGCGCTGGGCTCCCCTTCGGCGGAGACGTTAAAAAGAGGCGGGCCGCCCCGCCCCCCGCCCCGCCCCCACTTTCCCCTCCTCCTCCGCGGGCAG